ATTAACATTGAATTTTGTCTTTGTTTCCCCTATTTTTGCCAATTTGATAAAAAGAAGACAGCACTCAAAGGTTGTCTTGACCTGCATATACATTTTTCATTGAATCTGAACAATCTTTCTCAAGCTCTCTGTTCTTTAAAAATTGATTTTTTTTTGGTCATTTCTCCATTACGGAAGGGTAATTTTCACCAATGAATTGGAAGTCAGATGATCTTGGTTTAAATTCCAGCTCTACTATTTACTTTATGACTTTGGGCAACTTATTTGACCTTTTTGAGCCTCAATTTCCCCTTCTGTAATATGGAAAGTTTGAATTTACTGATCTCTAAGGTTGCCTCCTTCACTCGATTTTATGACCATATATTATGTATTTTGGGAGACAGTGTAGAACTGATAATGAAAACAAGAAGAAGGTCTGAGTTTGTTATATATTGTTTGTAGGATTCTAGACAAGTTGTTAATGTCTCAGTGTCCCAGGAAACTCGCTAAATTCCAGAGCAGCTACAGCTCTACTATGGGTAGTAGTTCCCCACCATAGGTGGATGAAATCACAGGGGACATTTTTTTTTGCGAGTGGTTAAGAGACTTGCCCAGGGTCACACAGCTAGTAACCGTCAGGTGTCTGAAGAGGGATTTGAACTCAGGTCCCCCTGACTCCAAAGCCAGTGCTCTATCCACTGTACCACCTGGCTGCCCCCACAGGGGACATTTTAAAGCAGTATGTTATGAGTTTTGTTCCTGCGTTCCCCTTCCCTCCTTTGCCCTACCCCCTTCTGTATTCGTTATCATTTTCAGATGTCAGAACTTATCTGTTATTTGTGCCAAATACTTTCTTTGTGATCCATTTACATTTTCCCAGGATCACAGATTTGGGACCTGGCTCTTTTCAGACTTTGGGGGTGAAGTCCAATCCCTTAACTTGACAGATAAAGAAAGTGAAGTACATTTTTAAAACTATCCCGAGGTTATATAGGTAATAAGTGAGATAGCTGGAATTTAAACTCAGATCTTCTAATTCTTTCAACCATATTCCTCTTTTTTATTTTAAATATATTTTCAAAGTGATTTATTTAATCACTGAAGCAGAGATTTAAACCTAGGTTGCAGAGTTGGTAGAGTGCTGGGTTCAAAACCTCAGATACTTACTAGCTATTTAACACCAGGCAAAGTCACTTAACCTCTGTCTCCCTCAGTTTCCTCATTTGAATAATGGGGATAATACTAGTACTCACCTTCAGGATTCTTGATGGGATCAAATGTGATATTGGTAATGCACTTTGCCCACCTTAAAGTTCTATATAAATTTGAGCTATTCATTCAAATCATTGATTATCTTGTTGTGCAGAATCAACCTAAATAGGACCTAAAACAAAGGCTGGATGAGAAGCAAAGTTAAGATAAAACAAAGTACCTGCCTTTCTGAACCTTTCAGTCTGCCTATTTACCGATGATGACAGATGACATTAATGATGATATAATTTATATGGCACCTACTATGTGCCAAGTACCATGCTAAGAGCTTTGCAAATATTATATCATTTTATCCTCATAATAACCCTGGGAGGTAGGTGCTATTATTATCCTCATTTTACAGTTGAGAAAACTGAGACTAACAGAGGTTGTGACTTTTCCAGGGTCACGCAGCTAGTAAGTATGTGAAGCTGGATTTGAACTCAGGTCTCTCTTTGACATCAACCCCAACATGCTATCCACTGTAACTTCTAATTTAATTTAAAGCATATGACCTAAGGGGGAGGGGGAGGGGGAGGGATTTTAGTCTATCAAAGAAAGCTAAGTGACTCAAGATGATCTCAGCTGAGGCCAGTAATTCTTCGAAGATGTTAAAGAAAAAGTGGATTTAAGTGTGTATTAGTGGGATATGGGTACCTTTCAGGAATCCATCTCTGCTAATAGCTAAAGAAGTTCAATGGATTCCACTGATTGCTGTTTTTGAAAGGCCTTGCAACTAGATCAGTGTGCCTGTATTATATTTATTTTCAGTTCTCCATAAAGGAAACAAATTTGGATACCAAGTGTACATGCATATGTATGTATATGTATTGTTAGTTAGTTGATTAGTTGTGCCTAACTCTTTGTGACCCCATTTTTTTTTTTTTGGCAAAGATACTGGAGGAGTTTGCTATTTCTTTCTGTAGCTCATTTTACAGATGAGGAAACTGAGGGAGATAGGGTTAAGTCACTTGCTCATGGTCACAGAGCTAGTAAGTGTCTTGAACTCAGGTCATCTGACTCCCTATTATTCACTGTGCCACCTAGCTGTTGTATGTATGTGTGTGTATGTGCGTACACACACATACACACACATATATACAGACATGCATATGTGTCCATGTGTATGCATTTATGTGTGTATGTATGTATATATATCTAAATGCATATATACCCAGATTCACAGACATATGCATACATACATATGTGTGCTTGTGTGTGTATATATACATACACTTTTTCCTCTCAAATACACAACAGAAAAAAATAAGGCTGAGATCCAGCACTAGGTTTTGCTCTAGACCTGAAGCATATTACCTCATCTTCTGAGCAGAGCTTGATTTTAGGTTTTGACTAAACAGCAGAGCATCAAAAAAAAAAAAAGCTATTCTTTTCATCCTATAATATCATTTGTGTCAGGTAAATTAAATCAGTGGGAGGATTGAAAATTTTCTAAGAAAATGTAAGCAGCCCCATCTCCTCTAATACACATTCCCACTGATTGTTCCTCACCAGGATTTGAAAAACAAACTTCTTTCTGGATGCCATTTTCCCCCAACTCTTTGTACTCATGGCTGCCCCATGTACCAATGAAGCCCCAGGGATCAGAACTATCGTAGAGTGTATGTGTTTATACCATAAATTAATAGGTTAATAAACATTTGAAGCCGAAGAGACAAGGAGTGTAACAAAGCATTTGCTTGTGAACTTGGTCTTCATTTCCTTAAAATTTAATGCCTTCCTCTCGTAAAAAAAGGAATAGAATATTAAAATAATATTTTTTTTCTGCTTCCAGTTCCTAGCTTCTATTGCTTCCAATAAATTGTAGAGAGCCAGGCACATCCCTTAAATTAATGAGCAGAAAGAATTTCTTTTTCAGGTTTTTTTTTTATTTTTATTTTTTATGAAATTAACAAAGCCAATGTCCTTTTGTCACTGCTGGTGAGCCTTGATACCTCTGTAGTATCTTCCACTGTAGTTTTTTTCTCTTTTTTTTTTGGAAGATGGGTAGGGCTGGACCTGGGAGTTCATTAGTAAATCCAACTTCTAATGAGGAAACATCCTTACAAGCCGTTGAAAGTCAATATTTAATTGGTGAGTCATAATACTGGAGACTTGCCTGAGGCACTGAGGTTAAGTGACTAGTTTAGGAACACCTAGCTCTGCATATGTTAGAAGCAAGACTTGACTTCCCATTGGTCTATTGAATCACAAAATCACCTCCATATCCATTTTGCCAGGAGTGGGGAACCTGTGGCCTCGAGGCCATATGTGGCCCTCTAGGTCCTCAAGTGCTGCCCTTTGGACTTAGAGGGCCAGATATGGCCTCAAGGCCACAGATGCTGCCTTATTGTATATAGTGATATTTTGTAAATCTTCTCATTTTTGTAGCTTGGCATTATCCTGGTTTTCTTTCTAGCTTTGTGAGCTCTCCTTTTCTGCCTCCTTCAACACTGCTTTTTCATCTAGACTGACAAATACCAACATTCCTCACAGCATCTCTTCCTCAGTGTTTTGATGTTACCCACTCCCAAAGCCTCTCAATCAATGCTCTCAAACGTCTATCTCCAGAGCTTCAATCTTGAAATTCCAGAACTGCCCACTATATACCCCCACCTGAGGGACTTGCAAAATTGCAAACTTGGTGTGACTAGAACTTAACTCATCATCTTTTTACTAGATATTTTATTAGCACACCCTATCAGAGCCATGAGTAGAAATGTTGATGCCTAGAGAAATGGGGCAAAGGGGAAAGAACCCTTAAGACCAGTAGGGAGCAGGGATACTTATGTACTCAGGGAATATAGGAGGACCTCATTATCTCTTCTTTTGGGGATTCCTTGGCCTTTTTAGGAGGCTTTTACATGACAGCTGTGACTAGCTGTAGTAATGGTGTGAGCAGATGGACTGTCCCACAGGGAATCCTGGCTATGCCTCATGCAGCACAGCCAATGACCCGCCCCCCCTCCACACACACACAGCTTTCCCAAAAGAGACAGATATGGAAAGATGTGGTAGTCATCTCCTTTGACCATAAGATCAAGAAAGAATGTATGATAAATTAAGTAGTTGACAGTTCACCACCCATGGGACTGATGTCTGGCCCTTTGGGGTGGTGGCTGGGTAGAATAGGAGTAGTTGTTACAGATACTGGACCTAGTGGAGGTTGGAAGGCATGAGGATAGGAGGAGCTTATTTCCCAAGTCCTCAGCCCTTTCATCTCCTCTCTTGATGCTCTTGTCTCTTTACATGCCCTCTAAGTTACTACAGTAATTCTATCGATGACTATTATGGTAAATGTTGCAGAACATTTTCTAGAAATCTCCCCTCATCCCCAGCCTTGAATTTGGGGATCTAAGTGGCTAGAAGAAAGTTTTACATTTCAGTATGTGTGTGTGTGTGTGTGTGTGTGTGTACATGTGCTTGTGTGAGGATATATGTGAGTGTATGTGCATGTGAGTGTGATTTTGGCAGAAGCCTAGCCCTTGTCTAGATCTTGCTAGAAGTCAAGGCAAAGAGCACTTTTCACTGAGTGTTCATGTTGACTTTCCTAGCATGACATCCCTCCCAGCTTCCACTGCTTCCTAAGAGAACTTTCAATTAAAAATGGACTCTACTCTTTAACTGGAGTGTTTTGTTAGCAATCCATTATAACCATACCCCCAAACAGAATGATTTATTCTATTTTGAAGAGTGAAACCCCAGGCCTCTCCTAGATATTAGTAACGATCCTCCATAGTAATGGTGTGTTGCCATTTTGCATCCTCCAGGTCATCAACGCAGCCCTGGCTCTCACTGCCCGACCCAAAAGCCAGGCGGTAAAATCCAATATGGACATGTATAAACGCCTGTGGGAGAACCACATCCATGTCTTCACTGAAGCAGTGGATGACATCACAAGCATCGATGACTTCCTTGCTGTATCTGGTAGGTCATTGATTAGGTCGTTGATTTCTTCTTCTTGCATCTTGAAAAATGTGTCTGTTTTTTTCAATTGATAATAGGAGAGGAAAATTTCTTCTTCATATGAAACAATGCTCTGTTGATTAACGGGTGTTGGAAGGTAAGGGGCCCCTACTTCTGGTAGTGGCCATGGCTTCAGTGATGAGCTGAAGGATTACCAGCTCCATTAACTGTTTTCATTTTTTTTTAACTTTAGGGTTATTACAGTCACTTCAATAAGCATTTATTAAGCATCTACTATTTGTAAGGAACTACGCTAGGCACTGGGAATTGAAGGTGGGGAAAGAAGCCCCTAAAACCAAGAAGCTACATTCTACAAGTGAAAATATTCTATCTTGTGTAATTCTAGAGAAGTTTTGGAATTGTTGATCTTGAGGGAGTCACTTCTTAAAAAAAATAGTAAGATGGTTGTAACAAGAAGAACTTTGGGGGTTAGAGGCCATTTCATTTCAAGTCAGTAAATGACCACGTGGCAGCAACTTGTAATTTAGCATCACTTGCTGGACGTGTTCTAGGCATGGGACAGGGTACAAATACACTGCCCTCATGGAGCTATTATACTGCTTAGAGGAAAAAAAAAACGACAATGGTGGAGAATTAAATAAAAAAAATAGACAAAGTTGTACAAAGTAATTTCTGGAGGAAGGAGGAGATTACAACTGGGGAAGGAAATCAAAAGAGGCTTTGTATAAAAGACAGAGAGGCAGCTAGACTACCCAGGGGTTAGAGCACCGGCCTGGGAATCAAGAAGGCCTGAATTCAAATTCACCCTCATATACTTATGAGTTGTGTGATGCTGGGCAAGTAACTTAACCTCTGTTTGCTTCAGTTTCTTCATTATAAAATGGGCAAAATAATATCACTTACCTCTTGGGGTTGGCATGGAAAGCAAATGAGATAATTACAACGTGCTTAGCACAGTACCTGGCACATAGTAGGTGCTATATAAATCTTACTTGTTAGTATTATTATGATGAAAGGAAGAAAATACCTTTTACTTGCTGTCCCCCCCTCCACACACACCTTCTTCATTTATTTGAATGCATAGCTCCTTTCCTGGGTCATGTAGCCAACATGACCCTTAATGCACTCCTGGGTATTTTGGGGCAGCATTTGTCTAACAAATCCAAGAAGTGATTCTACAAATCTAAATATAATAATAATTGAAGTTATTTAAAAATTCCATCTGAGCAGGAATGATCAGCCACTTATCACAAATTGGCTAGGCATCTCCAGGCATCATGAAATCACTCCAGTTAAGCCACATAAGAAAATGATTTAAAAAAACCCAGAAAACTTAGTTTTTAATAAGTGTTAGAACAGAAAGGAGAGGCAGACACCTTGGAGGACTCTGGATCTGTACCTTTATTTAAATGAGCTTTCTTCCCCCTCTATGTTAAGGATACGTTTAGGTTATGAATATTTTATAGTTACCTTTCACCCCCGGGACATTTTATTGACTCCTTGAGAAGCAGAAATGCCTGCTGTTTATTTTAAAAATGCAAATAATCATTAGTTTTCCTATTTTTTTTGCATTTTACTTTTTTTTTTACATTTTACAGTTTCTTAAACTAGAATCTATACATCTGAAAATATGAGCGTGTCACTGTGCATGCTGGGTTTGTTGTTTTCTGTTCCCATCTATCTATGCCTTGAGGAAAAAGAAAAATAAAACTCTGTGTGTGTGTGTGTGTGTGTGTGTGTGTATGTGTGTGTGTGAGCGCACGTGTGCATAGAGACAATTTCTATATTTTCAGAAGTAAGAGAATTGATAGTCTCAATCTCAAATTGAAGCACAAAGATGCTGTTTTATAAATCGGACCTTTCTAAATGGAAAGTTTGTAAAAGCCTTTTTATTTTTCAAAATGATACAATCTTTGGGTTAAAAACACCCCAAACCCCTCATTTGTCCTGAAGTCCATCTGCAAATTTGTAGGGCTCACCCAAAATGGATTACTGGATTCTGTTCATAATCTAAAAAGAAATTGGGTTGCCCAGTTGGGTGGTTAAAGAACATGTGCCTTGGGGGCTAGCAACAATCTTATCACTTATTCATGCCCTTCCTAGATTAACTGACCTCTTCAAGTGTAGAGTCATAACAGAAATAGGAGGAAAAGGATGGATCACAAATTAATGGTTATTGACATAATAGTATAATATTAATTGCTCTCAGAGCATTAGAACTTTGGATAAATCCTATGTGATTTCTAAGATTCCCTTGCCACCCAGCCTACCCCATTTCCCGGATTTTTTTTCCACTTAAAACTATTGGACTTGATAACCAAAAGCAATTAGTGATTGTAGGCAGATAATTATTATTTTTTGTTATCCAGAGCAAACTCTGTCTTTAAATACTTCATTAAACTATCATGTCTCAAACTTTGTAATGAAGAGTAATTGGCAACATGGTGGCTTCTTTTGTGAAGGTGTACACATGTACACATACTCTTAGTTGTAATATTGAAGATGACAAATTTCTAGAATATCAGCAATATTTAAGGATAACCACCATCACCACCACCACAAAAATAATGATACTAATTTAGAACTGCATTTAAAAAATTTTTATTCCATTGTTTTGTGGAATATAAGAATATTGAATAAAGGAACTGTGTTATTTAAACTTGATATCTTTTCCTTGGCCCCTATTTGAGTATTGTGTTTACATAAGATTACCTAAATAAATATTAGTTGTTATAGTTATTTTTAATTGCATTTGGACCACATAAGAAAAAATAATTACTTTATAACTACATTTGAAAGGATTAGATGAGCCAACTGAGTTTCCAAACTCTTAAAATACTAAAACATTTATGAATTTAAAGTTATCTTTTCTGACCTATTTAGTCTTCAGCTACTGGAAATTCATTAAAGGATTTAGAAGTTGAAATTTATGTTCTCCTATCCATTTCTTCCTAGTGGAAAATGGTCAAAATGGAGCTTCTGAGGGAAGAAATGGGTCAAAATGTATTGTTTGTGCCCAGAACTGTGCTAAGAGCAGGGAATACAAATGGAAATAAAGACACAAGCTTGTTTTCAAGAACATCATATTCTAATTGGAGATGACACATGAAGGAGTTCTGCTACAATGTAGTTGGGAAGGCCCAGAGGTTTTGAAGGTGAAACTGAGGGATAGATGGCAAAAAACAGGGTTTCTTAAGGTTAAATGACAATGCTTGGTGAACTGGAGGGTATAGATGCAGGATGGATGATAAGCCCTAATGATCCTCCATTTTATGTGAAGAAATAGAGCTAGTGATTCCCATTTCATTCATGGAGTATGAGTAGTCAAGCTGGTCAGGTAGGATCTGGTGTGGGAGCAGAGTAGAATAGGTGGCTAACTATTGGGTCAGTATTAGAAAAATAGGAAAGTGAAGTCAGAAAAGGGTCAATAGTCTGAGAAAAGTGTTTAAGGGTAGAGGGATTGGTGATATTACTGAGGGTGAAGAATAGTTTTAGAAGTGAGGCATCCAGAGACCTGGAGTGATAAGACGTAAGAAAGATGAAAGCCAGAGTTTCTGATGAAGAAAACAGAACACAGTCAGGAAATGGAGAACTCCAGGGAGTGCTCATTCTTCTGTGTAGATGAAGTAGGCTAGAGGAGGAGGTCATGGGTTGTTAGGAATTAGGGGACATGAGTGACTAGGGAGTTTGAGGCAGCATTACCATGACTGTTCTGGCTTCCTTTCTCTAATGTGTCACTCACGAAGGGTGTTCATTGACTAGGTATTTTTCAAAAGTCTAAAAATTTTGAAAACAATAGACCCAAGAGGTAATTTTCTACTGCATCCTCTGATCTTCCCTTAACCAGACAAACATAGATGTGATTTTGTCAGTGTTGTGCCCCTTTGTTGATGATCTTTTGAATGCTTTATCAAAACTTTGCATTTCACCTATAGCTACTTACCAGCTAAGACCCAAACCAAAGGAAAAGTGAAGAATAATCTGATCACAAGATGCTAAGGTTTAGGTCTATAACAAGAGTTCAGGGGCTTTGGTCAGTTTTCATGAAAATAACTATATGTACCAGTAATACTTAACACAATAGGTCTTTGTTAGAGTGTGTTTTAGCTCAAGAAAGAGAAGACCTAGGGCCTAACTTGAGACCCTTCAGGGAGGTTCATTGCATATGATGGTGTTTGAGCCACACCAGGAGGAGAAAGGAGGCTCAGTGATGAATCTGTGTTATACCATCCTTGGACTTAAGAGGCACTAGGAGGTTAGAGGACATTAGACTTAGAGTTAGAGTATTTGGGTTTAAATTCTGATTCTGCTTCTCCCTATGTGCAACATGGGTCAAGGCACCTTATTTATCTGTTCCACAGTTTTGTCATCAGTGAAGTGAAGGGTTTAGATCAAGTGACCTCTAAGGACCCTCTCAGGTCTAGAGGTATCATTCTACGAGCTGGCACAACCTGGTTACATCAAACTTTCCAAAGTCATACTTTTCATTATGCTTCTTAGATGCTTGGAGCCTTCAGGACATTTACACGAAGTCAACTCCAGCAGTACAGATGTGGATCCTGAATGTCATAGGGGCTGTTAATGTCCAACTCTGGATCAGACACATCTGATTGGTTTGTCATTTCTGATGTCACAGGTGGAGAGAGTTAAAGATTGGTCTGTGAGGCCTCAGTTATACATACATAAGGCACGACAGTTTCCAGCATAGTGTACAGCATTTCTGAAAAAGGTAACTTAAATCCATAAGAAAAGGGTAGCTTTTTGAAAAAAGGTTGTCTATCAAAAGTAAACAGAGATGGTCACCCTAAATTGTTTGTTTTTGACATTTTCACAGTTCAGTGTTAGGAAAAAAAAAAAAACATCTTTAACAATTCTCTAGCACAGCCCCTTCATTTGACCAGAAATTCAGTTCTAAAGATTTGTCCAAGGCCACGTAGTTTATTTGTTTCATTATGGTTCCCTTAACTTTGCCATATTCTCTAGTAAGTTTTTACTGTTAT